TCACATGTCAAGCTATTACAAACTGCGTAAGGACCATCTACACTATCTTCATAATGTCAAGCTATTACAAACTGCGTAAGGACCATCTACACTATCTTCACAATGTCAAGTTATTACAAACCGCCTAAGGACCATCTACACTATCTTCATAATGTCAAGCTATCACAAACTGCGTAAGGACCATCTACACTATCTTCACAATGTCAAGCTATTACAAACTGCGTAAGGACCATCTACACTATCTTCATAATGTCAAGCTATTACAAACTGCGTAAGGACCATCTACACTATCTTCACAATGTCAAGCTATTACAAACTGCGTAAGGACCATCTACACTATCTTCATAATGTCAAGCTATTACAAACTGCGTAAGGACCATCTACACTATCTTCACAATGTCAAGCTATTGCAAACTGCCTAAGGACCATCTACACTATCTTCATAATGTCAAGCTATCACAAATTGCGTAAGGATCATCTACACTATCTTTATAATTTAATGGCAAGCTATTACAAACTGCGTAAGGACCATCTACACTATCTTCATAATGTCAAGCTATTACAAACTGCAATCTACACTATCTTCATAATGGCAAGCTATTACAAACTGCGTAAGGACGGTCTACACTATCTTCATAATGTCAAGCTATTACAAACTGCGTAAGGACCATCTACACTATCTTCATAATGTCAAGCTATTACAAACTGCAATCTACACTATCTTCATAGTGGCAAGCTATTACAAACTGCGTAAGGACCATCTACACTATCTTCATAATGTCAAGCTATTACAAACTGCGTAAGGACCATCTACACTATCTTCAGAATGGCAAGCTATTATAAACTGCGTAAGAACCATCTACACTATCTTCAGAATGGCAAGCTATTATAAACTGCGTAAGAACCACCTACACTATCTTCATAATGGCAAGCTATTATAAACTGCGTAAGGACCATCTACACTATCTTCATAATGTCAAGCTATTACAAACTGCGTAAGGACCATCTACACTATCTTCAGAATGGCAAGCTATTATAAACTGCGTAAGAACCATCTACACTATCTTCAGAATGGCAAGCTATTATAAACTGCGTAAGGACCATCTACACTATCTTCATAATGTCAAGCTATTACAAACTGCGTAAGAACCATCTACACTATCTT